GAAGTATCAGCCTTGTACATTGTCAGTGATTTCCAAGAGAGAGCATATAGCATCTGAAAAGTGTAAGTACATTTATAAGAGCACAAATGTTGTCTAGACACTTCAATCCTCTGTATGTTAAAGCCCCTACACGCATGATTTCAACAGTTACGTTTCACTTGTAGTGCTTCATATGGAATTTATCAGGTTAGATTTAAACATCTGCATTGATTCGCTAGTTAATTACTACAGCCTCTGTGCTTGAACTCCAGAGAAGTCTCTCTCACCACAGCATTGTCCTTGTCCTGTCAGCATCATGAGTTTCTTCCTTCTTTCTTTACCTTCTCTACACAAAAGCAAGCAGGTACCTTGAAGCTGCAAGATGCAGCCGCCCTGCGTTCCCCCTCGCACCGCCCGGGCGAAGCAAGCTGGCACCAACCAGCACTTTGGTTACCCACGCAGAAAATCAACTTTGAATGGTTTCCAAAACATGCATGTACCAATTACTTCCTCGTGTGTAAGGGAAGGCGAAATATTTACAAAATATGTTTGAAGCGTACACAAATGCGCACACGCACACCTGAACACTCCGACACCGAAAAGCTGACCTGCTCCTCGTGCCTTTTGTATTAGAAAATGCTTGCATGTATCGATTAGGAAACAGGGAGCTGCAGGTGAGCAGTTTTTTTGAAATTGTCTAATCAGTAAGGACTAAATTGTGCCTTCAGGCCAAATGTTGCAGAAGAGCTTAGGAGTCGCAACTGAGACCAGATTTTTAAGAGAAGCTCAGTTCCCAGCTAAGACCCACCATAAGGAACTAGAGTGTCAAAATACATTAGCACGTTGGAAAATCTGATCTGTGCGTATCTGCCTAATAGGCTGCTGGCATCTTGAAAAATCTGACCCAAATGTGGATGCTAGGCACTTAAAAGTATAACCCTATGCACTGTTGAAAATTTAATCTTAAACGCTAATACTAGCTGTCTGGCCTGTACTAGCAGCAGAAAAGGACCTCTGCTCACCAGCATCATTTCTGATCTCTCTTATTAACTCTCCTAAAAAAAAACCCAGCACCCTTTCAGTACTGCAGGAGTGAGAACCAAGGAATATCTTGTGCATTTAAGCATAATGAAGCACAGATCAATGTTGATGCCAGTAAAGTTACACAACCATTTATCCTGGTAAAAAAATTAGTTTGTTGTTACAATTTACTTAGATTTTCAGCCACCAAAACAGTGTACTCGGAGCACTAGGTTATCACCATTAAATAATATTATTATTAAAAAAATTAATTGGTAGAACCCTATAAATCACTTATTCCACAGGACATCATCTTTATTCCCAGTATAGACTGTGGCTTATCTTATGTCACAACATATTATATTTTGTTTCTAATAATGACAATTTTTAAATTTGATTTTATTTAGTCATCTTGTGTTAGAATTCATGATTAAAACATATCTATTGTGAATAGGCATATATATGAAATATATATATACACACACCTGTGTGTTATTTGTGTGTTACCACTGTTTCTTTTGCCAACTATAAATAGCAAGGTCTGTTAACTCTCTCATGTAATTTTGCATACAGAGTGCTACAGCATAGAAACAAAGTGTTAGAAGAGGATGTTGTGGCTATAGTCAGTTTTCATGTTGCTTGACTACAGTTTCTTCCTCGTATTCCATTTTCATGTAATGAAATAGATGCCACCCACAATTCTTAGAGAAAATAAATAACTCTGCTACCATTTGCTTAATAATAATAATAGTTAATAATAATGTTAGCAAATGGTAGCAGAGTTAAGTAATGGTTTAATTTTTTTCTCTTTTTCTGGCAGTTGGTCTAGTAACTGAATAACTTTGAAATATTCCTCACACAGTTATTAAATAGATAGATATTATTTAAGTTTTAGCATCCTGAGACTCATGAAGGGGAAGAAGCGAGGCCAGCCCAGTGGCCATCAGGAGGATGGAGCCCCAGATTTGTTCTGCTGGGGCAGGACCGTAAGGGGAGCGCTGTGCCAAGGGCCAGCTCTGTGCTGACAGGCGGATTTTCTGGGTATGAGCTGC